CATAGTAAAATCAAAATATTTTACTATAATATGTAAATATTAATAAATAATAATCAAATATCATTAAAAAAAAATCTGTGGGGGGTGGAAACCCCTTACACCCTCCCCGTAACTACGCAACTGCCTATGTATACCTATGCTAGGGATGGGAAAACTATGACAAGCGAAATAAAGATGAAAATACAAGATATGCGAATAACTAAAATATTTATTAAATTATATTTAATATTTTATAATAAATAATGAAGCCACAATGAACAGCTTCAAAAATAATACCATTGGCGATCTTGTTAATTAGGTTTACATATACTTTATTTAGAGTTACAAATTATAAACCTAGATAAATTAATTCGCATCAAGTGTACAGAAACATAAATCAAATTAATTAAATACTATTAATAAATAATTAAGTAATATCCATAGGCGTGCGCACGGTAGTGGTCGAGTGGGCCGCGACCCCCCCCCCCCTCTGCGGACTCTGGCTTTTTCTTTAATAAATGTATGTATATCTAAACTATATAAGATAGAGAACATTTTTACATTTTACATGAATAAAGTAAAGCCAGTATAGAATATAATATAGAATTGATATCTATGAATAAATGTAATAAAATTATTAGTTATTAATCAGACTAATCAGAACTTGCATATAATATAAAAATTGAAGATGTAATTGATACATTCAAAAACCTTACTCCCGTAGACAGAAGGATGGATTTGTAAATAGTATAATAATATGTAAATAAGGATTTCTTAGATATAAATTGTGTAAGTTTAAATAGTATTTATTTTTATATTTGCATATTAAATAAATAATTTATAAAATTTAAAATATTTAATTATGTTAGTAGTCTTTAGTACAAGAATCTTTGATTCACTTTTTTTTAAGGGGCCCCCTGCGGACAAAGTCTGCGCACGCCTATGGTAATATCTTATAGCATAATACAATATAGTATACTTTCCTTTATTTTTTCATATTCAGTCACGATTTTGACTTAGTATATACCTGACTAGTGTTGGGAAAGATAAACAATATTTTTATCTAGATTAAAGATAAAGATAATGACTAAAGGTTTATCTAAGATAAAGATAAAAGATAATCTTTCAGTTATCTAGACCAGTGGTGGCCAAACTTTTTTTTTCCTCGGGCCATAAAAAACAACTTTTTTTTTATCGCGGGCCATAAAAAAATGCATTCTAAATATTTTTTTACGTAAATGCAAAATATTACAGTTATACAAATAAGTGCTGTAATATAGAAGACTTTCGCGGGCCAGATATTAAATGATGGCGGGCCGGAGTTGGCCCGTGGGCCGTAGTTTGGCCACCACTGATCTAGACGAAATAAAAAGATAAAAGATAAAGGAGAATTATTAAAATAACATTTAAGGTTTGACTCTTGGCTATATTTTTAAAATAACCAATTTAATTAATGCCTTAAGGTTTGATGGAATATTCTTATTATTCTTAAAAGTAAATATGTTAATAAATTATTAACATATGTAGATTAATTTAAATTATTATTTATTATACCTACTTATATTTTAATATCTGTACAAGTAGTGATTACTAAGTGGCCTTACATTATTCATAATTTTTTAACTAAATTTAATTTGGTTATATAAGTTAACATTAAGTTGTATAAAGATAATATACTAGTATATAAGTATATAACATTTGATTGTACTAGAATTTCTATTAAAATATTTTTTAATTAATAATTTAAATTTTAAAATACATATAAATGTCAGTTCACATATTTCAATTATTATTGTATGACAAATTATGAAAAACGGCTAAATAAAATAATAAAATCTTATTTTAATAAAAAAAAAGAACCACTTTGCTTGATTTAACATATATTATCTATCGACAGAAAAAACGCAAAAAGATAAGTATAAGATAAAGATACTCTGTATTTATCTAGATAAAAGATAAAAGATAATTTTGACGTTATCTTGATTATCTTTTGAATAATTTTATCTAGATAGTCCCGAAACTGTACTTGACGAATTTTTAACTCGAAACCGGTTGTACATTACAAATATAATAATACACCAGACTAAGTATTTATATTAACTTACGAGTAATAACCATTTACTAATTTTTATTTTATTTTTTATAATTGTATTACTTAAGTAATGTTATTTTTTTTAGTAATAATTTTGTTACCTAATTAAATACGATAAATACATTTAAACAATTAATGAATATCTTTAATATTTTTCTTAAATTAATAATACATAACATTTGAAAAATTTGCCATTCCTCATTTAGATGGTTTAGACAAGGTAAATTATAAAGCGAATGTCGACAATAATAAACTTCAACGACCTAGCTTGTAGGTTAGGTAACATAATAAATTACCTATGTACCTATATAAATTTTTAGGTGCTTTTCAAACGAAGTGGGGGTATTAATTAAATTCCGTACAGACGGAAAAAATAAATCGAATCACTGTAGATCGTTATAAGTGCATTGTTTTTCTTCTTCATATTTTTTCCAAGGATAATTACTAATTATAAGGATATTTACTGAGGTTATATTGGTAATATTATCGCGTGATTGATCCTAACCAATATTAAAAAACTAAAACAAATGCGTTGATTTATAGTTATAGCACTGTAACTAAATTATTCTTCACTGAATTTATACTTATCAAATTACCTTATTTTACTGAATGATCAGAATAAAAATATAAACTATCAATAAAAATAAATACTATTAAGTTGCAAATATGCATTGAATATGCAATAATAATAAATAAAAATAAAAATAATAGTTTAGAAGTTAAAAGTATAGAAAATATAATTACTATTACTTTAATAAGAATGATTTAAATCATGCACATTTCTAATCAGTTTTCAAATACCTTATTTCTTATTAATTTATGCATTTACATATAAGTAAAGTTTTATAAGTGATTAATATATTTTTAGATTGTTTTTTACGTGTACATAGGTGTACTTTCGAGTAAATTAAAAGAAAAAAAAACAAATTTTATTGTAACTTAATTTTTAATAACGGTAATAGAATCTCAACAATATATTCGAGACTAATATTTTACTGAAATAACTTTTTTTCATCGCACATTTTTTAACATGTTTTTTTGAAAAAATTAACATTTTGTTTGACAATGCTATGAACACGAATAAAGTATACTATAGATATTTGATAATGAACTCTATCGAAAACATTTAATTATACTAAATTTACATTTTGAAAACCTCAGGGGTTAATTCAATTACTTTAGCACTGAAACTGTGTATTAGGTATATATGTATATATTTTTTAAATTCATTATTATACTATGTTGTTCAGTTCTTTGTAATTACGACTATTAATTATTCAAAGTCAATTGAATAGAATACCGACTAATATAGAATCAAGTACAATAAAATCACGAACTTGTTCGTCACGTTTATTTCTTATTGCTGAATCAGCTAAGGCGGAGTTCAGACTATATATATTTACACTTTTGTGTATTATCATAATCGGTATATTGATTATATATACTCTACAGTCAACTACATTTACGATATGAGTACTACTTTTGGCGAAAACGTAATTTTTGATATAAAAAAAGAGATAAAATTCAGTAGTTTTTGATGGAACTATGCAACATTTTATTCACAGCAAACTCTAATTTTTTAAATACTCGAGCCAATGTATTCGTAAATGCAGTTATTTAAGCCAGAACACCGGTTATTTTAACCAGATTAATTTTTTATTTTTACTTGGTCGTTGGCTCTTAACTGGTTGAAAAATAAAATTAAAATAATGAAAAATAAAAACTTGACATTTAAAAAAATGTTGCGCAAAAAATAAAAAAATTATTAAACCATGTGAAAATAATAACAGCAACTCCGCAAAATGTTTGTTATCGAAGAAACAACAGATTTTTTAATTGCCATGATAGTAGTATAGATAGTTGCAAGATAGTGTCATCATCAAGACCGTATCTGGGGGAGGCTCCAGGGTGTCTGGACCCCCTTCCGAAATTTCTTCAAATATTTTACAAATGTTTAAAATAATTATTTATTTTTAATACCAACATAAATGTTTTCAGTCAAAAATGACCTTAGCTCGAATTAATCATTGACTGTTTTTAGATATTTTTATAGCGTCTAATAATAATAAACACAGACATTAACCAACGCGCGTAGTATATAGAAATCTTAAGTGACAAGATTTCAAAGTAATTTTGTTTATTTGATTTTATCATATTTTAATATAAGAAGACTAATAAGTCTTATTTTTAACCAAATACCAAAAGTCAAAATCTAAATTCAATAAAATTACAATATACATGTTTTGGATTCCCCCTCCTCTCCCCAAAAAAAATTACGAAAACGGCCTTGATTATCATATTACCTATGGCTCATTGATGATACTCTATATAATTTAGGATAAACATTAAGCAAATATTCACAAACAACATTTTTTATGCATTTCCAAAAATAATAATTTGTATTCGGTTATTTTGTAAATTGTGTGTAGATATCATTTATTTTGATGTATTATGAAAACATTATTAATTTAAGTGAAGCTAATTATATTTATTTAATTGAAAAAAAATTAGTTAACTTAACTGATATAAAAAATAATATAAACATGTCTAGGCTAGTATAACATACACGGCAATATAATATTTTATTAAAATAATTCAAATTATATTTGATATAATATTTAAGCAGTGCACATAATTTGTTTTTATTAATACAAAACTGTAGTATAATATGAGTAAATATTTTTATTCTTTTACGTATGCTTAATTCACGATCGACTGTAGTTAAATGAATATTTTACTTAAAAACACGAAAATACTTAAAACTTAATTAAATTGTTTAAATGCAAAAAATAAATATAATTAATAAATGTCAAGTATTAATTTGGACAGTCCATTTATGAATTGTTAGTTTTTAAGATTTATTTATGTAATATGTTAAATAAATATTGTAATCAATAAACAGTTATTTTAAAATATTAAAATGCAAAAATAAAAAATGAAAATCATAGTTTTATTCAAATGTATTTTTCGTGAAAGCTAAAATTCGACAAGGTGCACCCGTACCTTCCATAATCTTAATTGGCTGGATAATTAGTTTGAATCCTTTCGACGGTAATATCGTGCCATTCAAAGCTACGTTTTCAAGATTATAAATATTAGCTTTTGAAAGTATTCGATGTACATCGTAAGACTTGGAATTGCCTGGATCAACGCTAGGGCCATCTACTCCTAAGCCATACACTTTTCCGGAATCGACAATCCATTGTGCTGCGTCTTTAGACAATCCTGGAAATCTGAAAACATGTAATCAGGTTGCTTGGTTGAAATTATTAAACTTTTATTTAATAATATATTATAATGGCACCAGGGATTTTTCTCAAGGTGGTCCAAAGAGAGGCCAACATATATAAATATATTTTTTTTTAAAAAAGCCTAGAGGATCTGACCCCCACATCCCCCCTTGTATACGCCACTGATATCAAAGTACTGTAACTTGGTAATACAATTCTTTATTTAATCTCTAAGGACCATTTACCTCCCCCCTTGAAAAATGGTGGTTGTGTCAAAGTCTCAGTGACCAGAGATTTCTGAAATCTAAATTGTAAGTGTTAAAAACATTATGCTTTAGACATTTTAATATTATACAAACAAGTATAAAATGGTTAATATTTAATAAAATATTTAGGCATCTGTTTGTTGATATCGAACTTGGAACACCGTATAATTTAGGAGATTATTTTGTTACATAGTTAAATAATTTCGTGTTAAGCTTGACCAATATCTTGATTTATTATTAGATCTAGGAAGTTGTACGAATTACATATGGTTATAAATGTTCTCAATGTATAGCAGACTAAGATAGAAATCTGAGGCAATGAGACCTACAAGGATCAATTTAAAAATCGAAAATTCAAAATGCACATTTTGCACATTTGGTTAATTTTAGGAAAAAAATTGTATGTTTTGTTAATTTTCATGATACACTTTTAATAACTTATAAAAAAAAATTGATTTTTTTCTTTTTTAACCTGTATAAGGTTATACCCTATCCTGAAGTTAAAATAATTTTTTCTCAATATAAAAATCTTCTATTGAATAATCCGTCGGTCATTTGAAATTCTACATCTTAAGAAAATATTGATGGTTCGATTTAATATCTTAACAGGTATTTAAAAACATATTTTTTTGATTTTAACTTAAAAAATACTTAAAAATTATTTTTTAATTATATTTTCAGTTCAATAAGATGTCAAAATACCAATTAGTTATATAATTATTTTTTAGTTTTAGTAGTTTTTGTGTATTTTATTAATTTATTATCAACATCAAATTAATTTTTTTTGAATTCAAAATAATTTTTTTGAACATTTGAAATTTTTAATGTCTTCCGAGCCCCATTATTATTATACCTTATCAACGAAGAAACCTCTGTACCGTTGTTATAGTACAATTTACGATTGCTAAACTTATGAGCCCAACCAAAATTCACTAGTATTACACAGCGGTTTGGTAGCGGGCCATTGACTTGTTCCCATTGTTTCAAATGATCAGCAGTTAGTAAAAAGTCAGCATTTTCATTCACTTCTTGACTGACGTTTAGATGCACACCTACAGTTTTATACAAATACATGATAAATTTAAGTTCTGAGGAGAAAGTTTTTTAATGATCTTAAAAATAGGGTATAAATTATTTTTCAATAACAGTGTACATATTAACTTGTTAACAATTTTAGAAAATAATTAACTAAATAATAATAATAAACAATTAATTTTCAATCATTTTAAATATTTCAAATTATTTCAAATAATTTGTTTTAAAATTATTACATAAAATTGTTTTTAGTAGTGGGTAAAAAATTAAAAAAGAAGTGTATGATGTTCATGTATTCTTGTATTCATAAATGTATTCATATTAATTAATTATATACATATAATATGATATAATATGATTGAATTAATTGAATTAATAGTGTACTAATATTTTACAGTAATAACTTACAATGCCCTTTTGTTGGTTTTGTGTGGATATAGTTTACCCCTAAATTTGACCCTATAAAAATGTCTAAATATTTCACAAATGTGCAAATAAAAATTATATTTTAATTAATTTTTTTTTTTTTTTGCATGTCATCAAAACTTATATTTAACTTATATTAACTTATATTAACTTATATTCGACATGCATTAGGCGTTGGACGTTCCTGATTAATACAAAAACCATATAAAACATTATATATTGATTATAACCTAAACCATTTTGTCGTTGGTTAGTCAATAAAAAAAAAAAAGTCTCATTAAAAAAATTAAAAAATAGTCTCTAACATTTCAAGGCTCTTTGCAGTTACTTCCCTGCACAGATTTCGTGAGAACGGTTCATATTTTGTAAACAGTCGGAAATTCATACCAGGGAAGCATGCGTCAATGGACTGTACTGAAAGAAAGTGCACCTTGGCGCGGTCCATATTTTGTAAACAGTCAGACATTTGAACTAGGAGCGCATGGTATCAATGGACCGGCTGCCGTCATAGCAATTCGTCGGTTCACCCGACTCTTGATCCTAAGACCCTGGTACCACTAACACGGTTTCTGACATCATCGCAGACAGGTGTACGTTTTGATTTTGACAACAACGCATCAGCAACAGCTGTTCTTTACGTTTCAAAAACGCGTATTTCACGTGCTGCTCCAGTTTTCAATTCGCTAAGTTGTTTCAGTTATATCCCATGGAAAAATGGCGAAATTTATTTATTTGAAATCATACATTTTTGCCATTGTTCCCTAACCTAAAATACCTAACTTAGTTACCTCCAATGCTTTTTTTCGTATATTTTATATATGACTTAATCTATTAATAACTAGAGTACGGATTTTGAAGAAATTTGCTTTTTTTTCTATTGCTCTACAACGAAGTTATGTTAGTTAAAAATTCAATTTATTCTTAGAGTAAAATGCGACATTTTGTTTTGCTTTTTTTTGAGTTTTTTTTATATTAATGCTTTTTTGGGTATTTTGGATACTTTTTTTTTGCTTTCAAGTTACATTTTTTTCAAAATTCGTTCTAAATTAACTTATTTGATATGTTAATATTTATTTTCATATGTTCTAAATCTTGTTCAAAATCATTTTTTGCCAATCTTTCCCTTTGTGTTCAGTTTGTTGCGTACCGTATGGTATATAATACCAATAATATATAATTAATTTATCTTGAAACGGCAATAAATATAAGTATGTTCTAGCATTGAATTATATACTTAGAATTACAGTTAAGTTTTAGTTGTAACACCATGTAGTCATTAACAAATACCTAAAATTATTTTATTTTATTTTTTTAAAACCCATTTTTAATGCTTTTTTAAGCTTATTTGGAAGATTTATATAGCTTTATTGATTTTTTTTCAGTGCTATTCTTTATTGCTTTAAAATCCGTACTGTACATTATAAGATATAACAGTGGGAATAAATCAGCTGTATATGAATGTTACAATTTATTTGGAATTGTTTTTTTTTAAGGACTATAATGTCATTATAACTAAGTTATAAGTTATGGTCCACATTGGACCAGAAGATATATTATATGGGCTATTATTTTTATATTTTACTAGTTTGGATCCTAAAAATTTAAGGTCGGAAAAAACACAAAATCATCCTATAGTCTAATGGTATTTATTTTTAATTATTTATATTATATTAACATACATATACCTCAATGTCACATTTGAGTTATATTAGTCACTAACCTTCAATAATTAAACGTTCCAATGGAATTTCTCCCAATTTCCAACCGTCATGATTAAAGTGAAAAGGGGCATCCAGATGTGTGCCACAATGTTCAGATGTCATAAAACTCTCTGATATGTACCAATTATTAATGTCTGTCGACTTCATTATCCCGAAAATCTCGAATAACTGTGACGGAAACCAACACGAGGCTTGATTTTGATAGCCATGACTCAAATCCAATACAGCGCTGTTAACTTTACCCAACAAAAATATTACTGAAATCAAAAAGTACCAAGTACACATAATAGTATATGATTATACTCGCACTAAAAAATTACCAAAATGCTTAATTTGTTAACAAATTTAAAATATAATGTTTCTCTTTATCTTAGTAGTTGTATAGGCACTGGCTAACATAACATAATAAATTAATAAATTGATAACAACTACTGAGAGTGTTTCGTAGCACATTATTGTATAATATACGTATTATGATGTATGTGTACATACATGCTATCATATAGAGTTCAATAGTATACTCGATTAAGTAATATATTTCCCAAATATCAGTAGAATTGGTATTAAATAGGTAATAGGTAAAAGGTCGATTGATAGTATAATATTAAGCTACTGTAGATATGTACCTATATTTTATGTGCATTCTAATGTGTTTACCGATAGAGATAACAAAATTGTATTTAACGTTTAAATGTACAAAAATAAAGTAAACGGTTAAAAACCTTTGCTGTTGAAGCCTTAATTTTTTTTTAAAAAAAAAAAGTAATAATAGGTACATACTATTGTTGTATGATTATAGACTATCTGTGTCATGATTAGGATATCAATATAGTTGTGTACTAATTTATTTATTTTTTAATAATTAAATATTTAATTATTAAATATTAAAATAAAATAAAAATTGTTAAATTGTTAATACTCGTAAATGAATATAAGAATAAAAAGTTTATATGTAGAAATAAATAAATAAATGCTTTCGCAGTAATATTATTATATTTATAGCTATAATATTTATTTAATTTTCTTTCATAATTAGCTTCCCATTGAAAAGGCGAAAAAATCGATTTGTTTTTATTTGGGATTACCGCAACAATTTTTCCGCCCCGTTAAATATTTAAAGAGAGTTATTGCCTCTCTGAACCACCATTTAAATACGACTCTGCTTATCGAAGAATAAATATTATGTTTTCGCTGAGAAATTTTCATGGAAAACATGTATTTCTCGTTACAAATTAATTTAAAATAACCTTATAAGTACATTAAATATAAAAAAATGTATGAATATTTAATAGTTTTAAGCACTCTGGTAGAAGAAGTTTTCAATCATCTCAAATTATAAAATAATAACTTTTCCCCGTGAAGTTTATTTTTGAATATTTACTTATCAATCAAGATTGAAGGGCACCGTTTACAGAAAATTGTTGATGAAAGAGAAATGCTAATGTATTATCTTTAATAAATATATTAATAATTTAAAGTTTACACGTCAATATTCATCCGTCGTAGTATCATTAGGTTAAGTTACTTTTATCGTGCGAAAATATTTCTTCGTCAATTAATCGTGATGTAGGTAATTTTTGGTGCGTGATAAAATTTTATCGTGACTTATGAAATCGACCTTTTTATATTTTTACACTAGTAAATATATATAATTATTATCATATTTATTTTTAAAAATTCTCTTTTACACATTAAAAAAAAAAATTAGAAAAAAAAATTTCAATGCATTGTGTTTTTGTGGTGATGGGACTTTTATTGTTGTTTCTAAGTTATTTAATAAATTATAATTTACAATATTCATTACGTGTTGTATAACAGTTTATTAAAATTGGTTTCTATTTTGTTAACTAAAATAAGAAAATATATGGGAAGAAAACATAAAGATTAACTCGATTTCCACACCTCTTTCGGAATGATTATTTATTTCTTAAAATAAATCCACTTCGTACAAACAATACTGTCGAGGACTAACATTCATCTTCTGCAGTTTTCTCTACATATTTAACGCTTATTGTCTATAATAGTTATTAATTATTATATGAAAACATATTTCATCAAAACAATTATAATCATTAATATTTTCAAATAAGTTAATTATTTAGGTACTTATTGTTCTAACTTCCAAACGCGTGCAAAAAAAAAAAGTAAAAATATTATATTAAAAATAGCCAGTAATTTCTGTTAAAAATGAAAGTTTTGATTATTTAACAGGACATTTTTTAGTGACTTTAACTGTAAAATTGTTATACCTTCTCATTTAGTTATTTTGAATTATATTAAGATAATAATAAAAATGCATTTTATGCCCATATATTCAGTTTATATATTCAATAAAAAATAAATAGACTATATTTATGTTCATTGCAACATTTATAATAAAAGTTTCATCACAATTTGGTAAATTTAACTAAGATTCAACATCAAATTAACAACCACAAAAAAATATTTAGTGGGTCACTATATTTTGATGTTCAAGTTGAGTAGGTATTTAAGAATCTTTTGAACAGTAATAAATGCGTTGAAATAACTACGCGTTTATGTAACTCAATAATAATTATTATTCTATTATTCTTATTTAATTTTCTATCTCCTATTTTATCATAAATTCATAATACATATTATTTATTATATGAATTATATCAGCTATCAAAATATATACAAGGTATTATACTAATACATCATGACTATTATACATAATATGTGTCCTTGTTAATATTAATTCATAATATTTTAGTAAATTGTTTGTCAAGTGTCCAAGTTTAATTTATATCCATTTTATTCATAGTGAAAGTTCTTTTACGACTGTGTATACACACAAAGTATAAATAATAATTAAATTAATGAACTATAAACATTTTTGTTAAAAATAAATTACGTGTATTAAAGTCACTCATTCATAAAATTACTCTCTTGAGAGACTGATTTTAATCAAAAAAAAACAATATGAAGTTGAGAAATTGTAGTTCCAAACAACAGAAAAAGGTCATTTATTTGTGAGAGGTGAATCATCAAAACATTTTTAATGATCTATTCATACTAGGCGAGAACTATTTTACTATTGTGTAGATATGTATTATATAGTCGTATAGTTATTACAAAAATAAAAATAATAATTTAAATACCAATTATATTTTGTTTGAAATATTATAAAGATAAATGTCTTGATTTAGTAGTTTTTCCGTCTTAAAATTTATTTTTATGGATATTTTAACTAAAGAATTTACCTAAGATTCTATTTAATGTAAAAGTTATAATTTAAGTATTTCACCACAGCAGTTGCAATTGTTATTTAGTACAAAATTGAAATACCAAGTAGTAATACATACATAATACGTGTAATAACAATTGTTAAAACTGTTTTTAAACATAAAATTAAATGGCAGATAATATTATAGTAATTAAATGCTGAAATATAATAAAATAAATTAAATATGACGCAGCATCTACAATTTTACAATTCATTATAAAAAAATGGTTTTGTAATTTTATTGTAACACATGGTAATAAAAATAATTTCTCGTGTTTTTAACTCATTAAATCGGTCACTCGTTATAAATATAGTCTAATAATAATTATAAATACCTACTTTGCCATGTAGAACTAATATAAATAATAATGTGTCTACCTGTAAATGTAATATTATTATATTGCAAATAAATTCTTGGATTCAGAATGATGTTTATAATTTATCATAATCGAGAATACTTTATTTAATGTCCATCTATAAAAGCCATATTCTTTTTAAATCAGATAATTATCCTAAATTCCAAAATATTACAATTATAATGAATCATAACAAAAATTAATATTTAACTAATCTCCAAGTTGTACATTTTACTATATAATTATATGAATTGTATACTTTTATAGTTTAGAATATTTATTATATGTAAATATATATTATATAGGACATTATAGAACAAAAAAATAACATTAATTCGTTTCAAATTTTATATCAAATTTCTTATTTAAAAAAGTATCATATATCATTTTTTCTTACGTGTTTTTTAAAAAAATGTGATACCCACTTGGACATATATTATGTACTGTTATGTATCTCTAACGATTATTGAGCAATATTTTACTAGAAAAAATCGATATCGTGCAGTCTAAATTAAAATTAAGTATTTACCTTCTACCAAATTTGAAGAAGAAAATATTTCCAAGAATAGTCTTAAATATCATATACTATTTTCGAACAAAAAATGTACTATATTATGAATAAACACAAAACGTTACTGCATCTTTGTTAAAAAATATCTTACAAAAAGAATAAGACATTATCTCGAAAATTTTATTCTTCAGTACTATGAACCTAGATATCACAGTTTTCATTTTAAGTATTTATTTTAGCTATTGGAATTTAACTGTATTTTTCGTTAGATAAACGAAAAAAGTAATTTAAAGTCTAATTTAAAGTAATTTAAAGTTTAATTTTAAATCCGGACTGGACTATGAATGGATCGGATGGACTATCCGAATTGCATGTCAGATAAATAATTGGGCTTTAGTATGTCCGAATTTCACGCCGACTCTTACCGAGGTCTGTCCAAATGATATGCCTGAAATAATAAAATACTAATAGTTAAATATTCATATTAATTTTATCCTTTATTAAAAATCATTTTCAACTTCGAAATTTTGCCCTTTTTAATTTTTAAGTTAAATAAACATTCTTGATAAATTGTAATTTATTACTTACTGAAATAAACCACATATATTATTTTTATATAATATATATTTTTAAAAGTATACATCAAAATATTAAATTCATAAAATATTAAATTTGATTGATCATTGAGACATTACATTTTATCATAGATCCCACTGGCTCTAATCCAGCTCGTGGTCCAAATCTGGCCAGTGATCAATTATTTACCGACCCGCCAAAGTATTAAACTGAATTGAAAAATTTTATTCTTGTCATTTCCAATATTGTGCTACTTTAAATAAGAAGATTGTGGTGTACTTTTAAACAGTAATGCATCGATATTATCAAGAAACTTATATGTGCATTTGAAGATAGTTTTAATTCAAGCAAATGAAAATATTATTATTTATTTGAAAATATTTTTAACATAGATCCAGAAAATATTGAAACTTCTTTATAGTTATATAAATAGAGCGCGGATTTATATGCATTAAAAATGAACCAAATATGCACTAAAACCCTAAATATGCATAAAAATATGCAAAAAATGCGCTAATAACGTTTAATTTTTTAAATTGTTATGTTATGAAACAAATGTTGTGCTCACTTAGCATATCATATGATCAACCAGGACAAATATGCAAATGCATACAAATTCGCGCTCTAGTTATAAAACATCGAACTTAAATTTAATAATTATTTAAAAACATAATTTCAACAATATTCAGGTTTTAAAAATATTGTTGAGGTCAATTCAAATCTATCGTAGATA